CTAAATTATTTGTTCTATGCTTGAATTATCTCTTCTCTACATAGCTGCTTAACGCTGCTGTTCAGCTTATTATGCGATTCTGATAATTTTATTGTTGTCCAACAGAACCACGTAGATTATACGACGAACACCCCCCTGTTTTAACTGTCTTTAGAGCGTTTTGTACCTGTGTGTTTCTTGAGCAGGTTAGACGAGCCAGACAGAATGACACAATCAACGGTTTCCTGTGTTCACACAAAAAACATTCCACTTTGCTCGTAAACATACAGGTCATTGGAATTGCATTCTGCATACATTTCAGCATATATACATAGAAATGTGTGTGTGCTTATTCGATTGTATCTAGTAGGTACCAGTGATGAAGAGGGAAACTGTTAAAACTTTGTAAGATACTGGAACTAGTGACAAACATTTAGTCTATGATTCGATTCAAAATCGTGTAGGACATATTTTTCGTGCGCTTGGCCAGTATTGCGTGTGATCAAATTCTCCGAAGACATCGCCTTACTTGCATTCGAACCACCAGTCGTCGATGCGTAGATGTCATCACGCTTTAGTCTGTCAGGAAAACAACATATCCTATTGCATCTACCATATGGCTCATGTTTGTCAAGAACACAAAGGACAATTTGTGCCATGAAAATGTTCTTCTATGTCAGAAGTATCTGACGCACACTCCACTGAACAGACTCAGTCTGATAACAACCACCTGATGACCAGTCTCACATTCCCAACGATGACAACTTACCACAAAATCTCATCTCATCACAAACTCAAATATTATTCACACTCGACCACAATCAGCAGTTGAATGAAATTTGAATTCATGAAGAGTAAGCGGTGTTGCAGGGAAGTGATTTATTCAATTTATCTAATTCAAAGTCGAATATTTATGAAAGCTTCTACAATCTACATGTATTCAATGTCATGACGACGTTGACACTAATCCGTGTACTTCTCTTCAATTTTCTGAATAAGAATAAAATCAGTTAGCAATATTAGTGGATGAAATATATAAGTGGTGAAATAATCAAGAAACGCGTGTGCTGGAGAAGAGAATGACTGTTGGTGAACTGTATGCTAATTTATACAATCCAAGAATTCTGAATATTTTCAGTGAGGGATAACTTTCATCTCCACCATATGAAATGTGTTAACAAAATCAATCGAAATGCGAGTAATCGACTATCAAAGATGCAATGTGCTTGTACCTGTGCGGGTGTATGCGTCTCTGTGTCATATACACATTTCAGAACAATCAAGCTTTGTACATGTATCCAGTGCTCCCAGTACTTACGTTTCCTTATAAAAAGAATCGATACACACCACTATTTATATGCTAATCCGATGATGAAATTATCAAAGTGCTGTAGTCACTTTAATTCATAATGATGACTCTAGGACCCTTATCAGGTTTAGTAATAATTATATTAGAATTTTCCCGTAGCTCTTTCAAGGCTTTGAAATGCTGGGAATTTCAAATACTTTTCTCGTTTGAGTTGTTGTTTAAACACTGGTGAGCTACATCCACCATCTTGGCCTTAAACCAACCCCGACCTTCATCGGATGTTGCGGCAAGAGGTTTGAGTTGGTCATATAAGTTTTCAAACTCAGCATGGATGGTTAAATCCGTAAATTGCGTGCGAGGAACACAAAATTTGAGTCCAAGGGACAAAGCTTCTTTCTGATGAGTAGATAGAGTAATATCAGAAGGATTTGTGACGTGCTTATCAGGATTCACCGGAAAGTCATCTACGCGGTTTCGATCATCAATTGAACTCTTCAAGTTAGTTTGTATATTCGTCTTTGTTTTCTGAGTAACGTCTTTAAAAAACTGAACAAATTTCATGTGGCATATTACTGATAATTCAGATAAAATAAGTGGCGCGTCGGTATGAAGAACGAGTAGTTCTTGTAACGTTTGTTTAACATTTTCGATATGTGACTTTGTAAGACGAACAAGATTAGAAGTATTTGGTTGTAATTTACTGAATTTCAAAGTTTTATAAAGTTGCTCAGGGAAGGTGTTACGTTCGACGACAATTTTACACCTGAGGTTGACAAGTTCATTTAATCTTTTGAAAGTGTCTGGAGGGAGCCTTCTCGGTAAAAATTTAAAACAATTAGTTCCCTTTATGAATTTAGATGAAGCAATAAGAAGACGTAATTTGTCTGAATCGTGTAATGTATTTGCGCCCACAACACATTTCGAACAATCTGATCCATCATACACCGACTTGTCATAGCAATGCATATGTATATGTATGCATATTTGTATATATATATATATATGCAGCTAATATCGTAATAATAGAGAATGTAATGCCATTATATCTATCTAAGCCCTTCGAACATGCGAAAAATGACGTCACATCCCACTGTATTTACCAATTTCAATGTACGTGTGGACACACATTTATAGAGATGACTAATCCGTCTCTGCAAGTAAGGGCTTCACAGCATATTCCAAAATGGCTCCAGAAACAAATGGAATCTTCAGAACCTATTAACGGTGAGAACAGAAGACCTAGCTCTTCTATTGCGAAGCATATTATAGAGACAGGACATAAAATTGATGTTAACAGATCTTTTGAACCTTTCTATAAAACGTGTTGGCGGCGTATCCTAAAGTTTGTAGAAGCCCTAGCAATTAGAAAGTTCAAGTCACATTTATGCGTTCAAAAGCAATTCGTCATCACATTAAACTTTCCTTGGTAAATTTTGTTTTGATACCATCTAGGGTAGATGTACTATTACCTCTGTTATTTCGTTTAGTCTTCATTGTTATTTTGACCTTGAATATGTCCTTTTCTCTATTTTCTGACCTATAACCTCTTTATTAATTTCATATATATTCCTATGACAAAGCCGTGTGTGATGGATCAGATTGTTCGAAATGTGTTGTGGGCGCAAATACATGACACGATTGAGACAAATACGTCTTCATATTGCCTTCATCTGAAATAATGAATACCGCTATAATTTCTTGAAAGTTTTCTCATGAGCTATCTAGTGGCCCTTGCTCTACTTACTTGGATATTTGAACTAACTTTGTAGTTGGCTTCCACTCACCGCCTACAATGTTTATCATCGTTGTGACGATTGCATATCGTATGTTCACTTCATGCTTATTATGTTTCTGCGTCCCTGTTAGATCTTTGCTGTTATAGGTCACTGCTTCCATTTGTGGTTTTACGATACATTGAAAATATGTTGTTTTACAATGTGATTTATTTTGAGTTAACCGAGGCGATTCTTATCTTGGACTGTCTTCGTGAATTGTTGGTGTGTGATTCTGGTGAACAGATATTTGATGCCACCTTGTTGTGAATATTCTACTTGATTCTCACCTACTTACTGGCTAAGGTTGCATTCCGGTTTACTAATTTTGCACTGCACTACTTGTTTTCTACTTGAAATATCCCTTCGCTATATAGCTGCCTAACGACAGCGTTGAGGTACTTCTGAGTTCCGGATAAATTAATTGTTGTCGAACAGAACGGATGACTGTTACAAACGTCTTAGTTACTGGAATGAGTGAATAGCATGTAACCACTTATTTGATTTAAAAATGGTGTGGAAATGTGTATTACGTGCTCATGGTTAGCTAATTCCTTTTTATCCATGATCACCTGCTCGAAAGGCATTGATTCAATTGTAATCGAGATGAAGTCAGTGATGCATATATGACTTCACACCATTGGTTGTCAATAAAACAGTAGGTCCGATGACATCTGTCACAAGGTTCATGTGAGTGAATAACACAAGGGACAATTTGTGCCATGTAAACGCTGTCTACTCATAAAAGTATCTGGTGAACTACCTATTAAAAAGACACAGTGTGACAACAGTCACCTGATGACCAATCTCACATTACCAGATTCCCGATGACGACAGCCCTCGCCTGATTACAAACAGCAGTTGAATGAAGTTTGAGTTCATGAGGAGAAGGCGGTGTAGCAGAAAAGTGATTTATTTATTTAATTTAATTAAAAAGGAAATATTTACGAAAGATTCTACAATCTACATGTATTCAGACTTTGACATTCATCCTGGTATTTGTCTTCAGTTTCCTGTAGGAGAATAAAATCAGTCAGCAATATTATTGTATGAAATATTTGTGGTGAAATAATCAAGACGGACTAATAGTGAGAAGGAGGATGATTGTCGGTGAACTGTGTGCTTGTTCATAGAATCCGAGGATTCTGAATATTTTCAGTGAGTGATGATTGCCATATCCACGATTTTTCGGGGTATTCGAGTTGATACATTTCAATAATTCACTACGGGTCGCGTGAATTTCACTAGCTTGCTTGCACAGCCTCAGTGACATTTTTGAAGAACGCATATGCATTCTCATACATTCACCATACCATCTATTTAGATCCGCTACGATATTATTCCTTGATGAATGTCCTCACTGTAACCTAAAACGACACTCATAACGCTTTCAACATTCGATTAAACAGGAGTATTCAAAGCTGTCATTTGAACCACACATTCATTAAACAGTATTTCAGCCGAAATATTGTCGAATATTCGACGGTGAAATTATTCTCGAACTGTTGCGTTGAATATCTGCATCGTGTCTTTTGCTTTGCCCATTCATCATCCACAACACTGTCTCACATTTCGTGCGCTTCATATTAGAGTCACTACACCGATAACAGACCTTCGTATGCTAAGATGTGGAAATGTGATGCAAAATAAACCTCACCTGTCAACTGTTTCAATTGGGTTTTGTATAGATTCTTGTAAACTAGAAATGATAAAACAGGTTGAGAAATATTTGAGTTGACCAGTGAAATGGTTTGTTGTCCATCACTGCGCTTGTCTGATAACTAACATTAGGCAGGCACTGACTATTTGCGAAACCAAATCACAACGTTTACACTGTTTTCGTTTACAAATTTACAATTGTGAAGTAAATTCATACAGAGAAAATGGACTCACAATATTGTTTGGCAATCCAGTGCTTGTGGTTGTATAGTGTAAAAGTCAGCACATTCAGTTGATGAAGATCTGGAATGATTCATCAATGAACACCTTGTAGAGTAAATATCTCACAATCATACTACGACGTTCAAACTGGAAATTATGCGAAATGAAAAGATGCAAAACAATCTGTTTTGCGCACAGATTCAACAAGCTCTCTACTCTACAAACTCATCCACTCGAATGATACAACTATGCTAGTACTCAATCAGTATCACGTTCAACAAATAGTCTTCTAGTGTGTGTTTCTGCTCACGATAACATTATCTTCACAATCTCATTTGTAGACGACTGAACATATCATGAACACTGAACTTGCTCATCCTGCTTCACCCATTATTACTTGACTCACTGCAAATACTCATCGTAGACTATCGTACAATAAGAGGTGGATGTTCATGAATTCAAATCATGATGAAGATATTGTGACATGTGGAAATATATCATCGTCGTCGTAGGAGTTTATGAAAATGTTATTCATTTCATGAAGAATATAAAAAATGAACAAACGAATACCTTCGTGAGGCACTTCAGGCATATTTTCCCAACACTTGTCCAAAGGAAACGCCATCGTCTTGCCTATTCATGGGTGAGTAAGAGTGAAACACGGTGTGATAAATAACTCAGATTTACAATAGAGGTGTGGAGAATGGCATTTCGAAAATTGTTACACCACACTGACGAAACAATTCAGACTGGTTGGCGTAATGAAATGCTACTTACTACGATATTCTAAGGCTTCTTGTCGGCAACACGTCACTGTATCCTTGAATCTGGGGTCATTTTCTGTAAATAAAGGAGTGTCACACACATCAAGCTACTTCTCTTCTTCTCAATGTCATACACATTTACGCATGTTAAAGGCAAATACAATCAGATTTCAGACGATTAAAATATGTTTACTAGTTGGCGGATTGTCAGAGAATATCCGAAATGAGAAATGCCTCAGTCGAACAACTGTCCTCGAGCACCTCCACATGTTCAGTGCATGACGTAGTTTGCCATCTTTATTTGATGTCAGCAAATAAAAGGCAGTTGAGATGGTAGGGCGGGAATATAAGCCAACTGAGTGCTGTCAGTCAGATAATTGAGGTGAAATAATTATGGTGAAAGATAAGTACAGAAATGATTCAAGATATATAGCTTACCGTTGGAGAGATGGTTTGCGATTTCTAGGAAAGATAGAAAGACGTTTATATATTCAGTATATATATATATATATATATATATATTCAGGTGACCAGAAAATTTAAAATTCAAATCAACAGGAAATGGTCAATACATGTGTAAAGTTGGTTACCGGGGGACGCAATTATACCACTCAAGAAGAAATTTAAATCATTTCATTTTATGCTAAATATTGCGCTGAAGATGTTGTCCAGAAGGATGTCCACAACTAAACCAACCAGCTCAGAGAACACTATTAATTGCATATATTCAACATATCATATCGATTTGTAGTCAACACAATTGCAAACATCCACCACGCGACAGTCGTATAAGCGTTAATTATTGAAATGAACAGTGAGAAAGCAAATCATCAACAGGGAGTGTATCACGAAAATGACTCCATGTATATTGAATGAACAGTCAGTGAGGAGAAAAAAATTTCGTGGATGAAATTACATTTCGAATGAAAAGAATTTCGTGAAACGCACCGTTTAATGCGTTCTCTCCCGATCTGTATTTGTATGCAGTTCGCAGGCAGTTAACATCTAAAATAAATAGTCCATCATTTCAATAAACTCGACTTGCTGCTTACACGTCTCTAATCCTTCTCGTACGTTTGCATTTTCCTTGAGAATCTTGTCTAGGAAAACAGAAAAGCGAAAGCGTTGAATGTTTACAACATGTAGAGACGTGCATTTCATTCATGTTACTATGTGCTACATACTGACTGACATGATGGTTGTATTCATGTGGTCATAGTAATAAATTAGAAAGCACAAATCAAGGCATATTTTGGTCAACCTTTCAACATTGTGTAAAATAAGACATCATGTTTTACTCACCCTCTCTAGTTTTTACTGCCTGTTCTGCACCATCCACGATCGGTTTGACTCCGCGTATCAGTACTGTGAGGAGACGAGAATATTTTGCATGAATTGTCAGGCAGGAGGTAAGATTATTGAATGCAAGTGAATAACGCACATTAGGAATATTTTCATCAAAGATGTCTGAAGGAATTTCACTTAAGCCACTCTGCATACTTCGATAGTATATCTGCTCCACGGTTTCGGCGTCAATCATTCTCCACACAGCCTTTAGTGATATTATATCACTTTCGGAGTCTTCAAGGAAAACAATGCCTACAAGATCCTTGTTAGACCTTGGTTATTCCTAGACTGTTGTCATGATGAATTCTCAAGTCGAATGATAAACTCAAATAGTAATCATTGAAAACGTGCTTACTATCGACATGCGAAAGCATATCTGTGATGCCCTGTTTACTCCACGATTCATCTTGAATTCAAAAGAAGAAATGCAAACGACAGTTATTATACGGAGGAGATGTTTCAGAATACTGAAGATTATTAGAACAATTTGTCTACTAAAATGCATCAAACTCCACTTGAGCACTTAAGTATGCCAATCCAGTGCAGAAACACATCATCTCAAAATGCGTACTCAGGCCATTTAAATTTTGGGAAATTTTAGCCTGACACATTAGCCAAATGAGAGAACATGTCACTGTGCAACTGTTAACATACACAGTTTCTGAATCAGAATTAAGATGAAGGACGTCTCGGAGGTTATGCTGCCGGTCACCATCTACCACATGAGATGAATTCGGGATGAAAGCGTACGCAAAAGTGACAGTTTTAGAGTGAAGGCTTAACCAGAGAGAATGACCCGTGAGAGTAACTGGCAAAATATTCAGCAGTCATAACGAATAAGGCAGATATTTTGCACGGAAATAAACCACAAACATACCATATTCTGAAGAAATGCTTACCTGCGTTCATGGCTGCTAATGCCAACAGAGTGACAAAGGCTATGTGGTTGTATGCAAAGTAGACCATCTTCTTATGTGAACTGACTTTCCGTTTCCTTATTTATACTACAACAAACTGTCACAGTTAATGTTTTAATTGGTCGATTACAATAATCACGATTTCATCGTTCATTCGTGGAAGACTGTGAGTGTTGTGATTGGTGAGTGAAACAACGTATCATAATGTCGGATGATTCATACAATGAATCAGTGGAATCTGAAAGGTGTAATGAAATCAATCAATCTGCAGAAATACTTCAATCCAAATAGTAAGCAGAATTCATGTCATGGCATCCACATGAAGAAATCACACTCGCAATGCCTAGCGGAAGATCACATTCGGGGAGTGATCTAGCTTTGTGACGATTCGAATTAGCCTACTAATCTGCAAATGAAGCTGGATATTTTATCCGTGACAGTTCAACACTATAAACGTTTTACATATTCTCAGCAGGGGTGTTTCACATTAATTCCTAATAATAAACTATTCATGAAACTCCACAGTAACCAGCCATGAATGTGAGAATACATTAGCCGTTGGAGACAAGTCGGAATCGCATCAGATACTGCACTGAGTGCGCTGGTATCACGCGACAGATTGACATTTATTCGGATTGTCATTTTATTGCAGTTGACATATGCAGTCATTGGGAATATGACATACAGTGGAACTAAACACGTAAATGACCCGACTGTGTATTTATAACTCACACATATATACGTTTCACGCGTGAGTCATATACAATGATGTGAATTTTACAAAAATATATACCAACAAATGGAGTGACCTGCATATAAAATCTACTCTCAAAAGTAATAATGAAACGCAGTAACTTTTTGGTGACAAGTAATCAAAGAATAGCACGCGAAATGTGAAAAAAACTAATCATGATGATCAGAGGACGCTGAGGTGAGCGAGAGTAGGAAGGGAGTGAATATCTATGAGATTTCTATACAGCATTCACTTGTGAGCACAGTGGATGAATGTGGTGATTTTCAGCGCATTCTGACGTTTCTTTCCTCTCATGTATACGCTCCTTTATAAAATTTCTAGAACGACCATTTTCTCACTGGATAGTTTTCAGATCGCAGCCCGAGTGAGGAGACTCCATCGCATCATTGTATATTTGTCTAAATGCTCCATCGTTAACAATAAATAGGATTTACAACATACTTTTCAATGGGAGAAACATTGGAAAACAGTGACAAGATATCTATAGATGACAGGTGTATTTGCTTAGTTCTGATCTTCAATGTTGTCAACAGAATTGCACAACTTTTTAACACCATTTGCAACTGCCTCTTGAATTACAGCATCCACGTAAATAATCGGCAGTTCGCAGCAAAAATGAAATAGTTAATTTGACGTTGACAAAGCCGAACGTAGAAGAACAATCTACCCGCAGATATTCACTAACGCGTGAAGCATGCGATGATGAGTTATAGACTGAATGACTGGATTGAATACACAAGGTTAGGCAAATTTTTCACCTCTACCGACTTCAGCGACTTAATAATCTGGCACTCCACGGCCCCATTGGAATAATTATTCACTGAGAAGCGCTGTTTGACACTGGAAACAGTGAACTAGTGAGGCGTCCATTTCTTCGACATGGTTAAATTTATTCAGTGTCTGAGTGTCAGGTCTAGTGCTTATATGGCTATCAACTGACTTGAAATACTCCACGGATTGTATACATTCTTTCGTGACAATCATGTCCATCTCCTGCTTGGTATTTATTATTCTACTCATGAAAACGTCCGCTTCGTTTTTCATTGACTCACATTTAACAGATGCATTGAAGTCTCATTTCTGCATGAAACAGTTTTCTTCAAACTCTCTCTGACTTCTCTCATCTAATCTTTCTAAATTTTTGAAACTGACAGGTCTGCAGACGTCAGTTCCATTATGGGTAAATTTTGTTTGATAAAGTCTCACAGTGTTATACAGTAATGTTTACTGAGGACGGTTATCTGAACAAGTTAACCACCTTCATAATTTACTATTGAGACAATAAATTTAAATCTCTTCATGAAGATCCGCCGAATATAACGGTAAATGTCACTGTTGTTTTCATTGTTATTCCCATAGGTGCTGAGTGGAATACACATCGTAGGAAACACACCCTGATTTCTATCTCGATGTTTTCCTTCAATCTTGTTTAGGTCAGTGAAAGATTGAGCATGAGCACTGATTTCATCACAATAACCGAGACTCCAAATCACTGGTGGACAGATGGATCTGACAGATGTCAATCTGTGATCAAACTTGAAACAAATCATTCCCTACGACAAACGATCTCTTGAAAGTCGCCCTCTTCATCACCACAAGAATTCGCCTCTTGAACATGGTCATCTAAATTCCGTGTTTAGTAATTATAGTTTCAAATTAATTTTGGAAGGCACAACATCATACAGACCTTGAATACACTTGTAAAATGAGAATCTACTGCTGTAAATCTCTTTTGGCATATCAGAATTTTCAAGTATTAGAATTCACACAGAAATATCAAGACAAATATACACTCTGCGTTAATTATCTCAGAGTACAATCAAAAATCGTTTCTCAGAAAAGCGGACAAATATGATAACTATAATTGTTCATATTTTTCTTATGGGATGCGATTGAAGAATAGAGTTTCAGCGACGCACCGCAATACAACTACATCAACACAATCCACGACACCTTCAAATCGTCTGATTTTAACTCGAAGAATGTTTCAAGGGTTCATTTTGAATTACTACATATGAAGATCTCTGTCTAGAAAGAAGATCCACATCTATCTAAATGGTCATTATGGTGATGTGCTCACGTAGGACCTCCTTAGTTCACACTGAAGATGTCAATTTCACTAGAATTAATTGCAGTGTCTATCTGGTGTACCTGTATCCCCTAGCATATATACCACCGACAGCACTGATCATTTTCTGACACAGCTAATTTTCCTCGAAGGGCAACAGTGTCCAGTAAAATTCCTCAGAGGTGTCTACATTCGGATTTGTGAAGGCATGAGTGAAAGTCTTTAAGTATAATGTCAGTGATATCGATTGCAGATTTGTGAAACTCGAGGGATTTTCTGGAGTGATCACGGAAGAATAATGATGAGAGTTTGATGCATTCAGGAGTTGATAAATGTTGAATGCGTTTTCACAACTGTGAATGATTTTCACATTAACGCTAACAGTGCGAAGCAAACGGTATTCAGCGTCTCCACTACCCAAACTCGACAGTCTACACCATCTCACGTGGCTGAAAACAACATTTAAGGGACTCGCTAAATCAAGACACATTGTGATTCGACTGATCCCTACTCTTTTTCAACCTAATTCGATATCAGCCAATAACAAATAATAGACGAGGAATGCAATGGCATAATAAAAGTATGACATGATGCAGTGATTTCACTCTATTCAGCTTAACAACCTCATCCACTGGTTTCGTGTCACTACACCACATCTGCAAGGAACATCAGAGAGAATCTCTGCGCACTAGGCATGTTCTTCGATAGACAACTAGAAGTGACGTCTTCACGGGAGATGACGTGGAATTGTAAACATCTCATCGGACTTTCTCTTCCCGTACTACTATTTCATCAGCATTCAGTCAATTTGAGCATCTGGAAATTTGAAAAGGATTTGAGGATTACAGTGTTCTGAACACCTGTATCAGTCCTTTGCTTCAATAGTGGAGTTACTGGAATCCCCAACGGAAGTCACATCTACTCATTTCATCTTTGATGGACAATCACGTCATCCGTGTGAAGTGCACATTGTACCTTTGAACTTTTGTTTAAACTCGCTCACCCATGGTGATACACTTGTTATCTTTTGAGTTGTGAGTCTTCCGTACGTTCATTGGTTCGCTCTCTTGTTGTGCTCTTTTTCTGCACACTCTCCGAGCCTAGCTCCAGCAACGTCTGCAGATAAGTTGTACAGTCACTTTATTTATTAAATCTGTTATTCAGTTACATTAAATACAACTCATACTAAGAATTCTTTCCATTTTTAGCCTTTAAACTTTGATTGGGTTAATCAGTACTTACACGTTAGGTAGAGTACTGGTAAAGTCATAGGACGGTGAAGTTTTAGTAAGTGTGGTGATATCGAGGACTATTTTAATTCTAGCCCCAACACTTACACGCGTATACGTTCGAAGAAGGGAGAATGAAATACTTGACTTTTTAGCTTTCTGAGTTTCATCTATTCCTTACAGATTTTTGAGAATGCAACTTCTAAATGATGTGACATTATGGTTGGCGTATCACTGATGAGTAATGGAATAATCTGGCTTCACATGCTCCAGCGCAGCAGTAAACACTTGCAGATTTAGCTAGATGCATTTCATGTGTCACGGTCACAAAAATGACGTTCTCTTTCCACACACGATTTACTTTTCATTATTGAATTCCAGTATGGAGACCAACAAATCTACTTCAATTAAGACACTGGAAGCTAATTCCACCATGAAGTAAACTTACTCGATACGGTTTCACTGCGTTGTACAGTATTATTTACCGAAAACCTTTCACTCTCTGATGGAATGATACACTCACACAGTGTGTACGTTCTGAACTTACACAACAAGAAGAAATGTCGAAGAAAATGGTGCGAATACCTGAGATGTTGATTATTTCGGTGTGAAAATTCCTGATGTTCTCAAATGTCTGAAATATCTGAAACACTCAAAAAGCTCACAGACGGACGATGCATCAGCTGTTCACTTTAGAAGATGACGGGACGATTTATGTCATAATCTTACAAACACTTTCATTGCCTCATATTCTAGTGTTGGTTTTTAGAGTCCCGAAATAGGTTAAAAGAGGCGGCGTGTTTAAATCTGGGGCTACCAAAATTTCTATCCTACATATTGCATCTATTTCCTCGGATTTATTCTCTTTTAATTATTCAATTATATATCCAAGTCGCGTTACTTACTCTTGCGATTATTTAAAATCTTTTCAACCTGATGAT